CTACTGTATGCATCCTTATCTCTATTAGAACTCCATCCCGAACTGTCCTTATCATGGAATCCTTCCAAAAAAAAAGGGGAAAGTAGACAATGCTTTTAGCATGACTCCTGGCTTCTTAAAGAAACAGCTCTTCACAAACACAACCTTCCATTATCTTATCACTATAGAGCTCAAGGGTCAGTGAAACAGTTTTTTATCAATACTTTGAAAGAGAATTTAAATTTCCGGATAATGTTTTTTTAAAAAAAGTTGTAATTTTTTATTTATACAAGCACTGGGTACAGTCAGAAGCACGGGAGGGTGAGAGAATTCACCAGAGCCAGAGCGGGGAGCAGAGCAGGCAGAAGACCGAAGTACACTGCTGAGGGGAGCAGCGGGCGGCAGGAGAGGTCTGCGCGCCATGTGGGACCCTCCTCCGGTGGCCGGGGTGCCACCAGGGATCAAACTGGCGCCACACAGGCTGCGGGCAGCTTCACAACCCAGCGCTCAACTGCTGCACCACCAGGGAGGCCCTGATAATTGTCTGCTATCAAACAAGTTCTATCATCTTTTCCGCTAAGAAAGTATTACCTTAAAAAATTAAGTTAGGGGGCCTCCCCGGTGGCGCAGCGGTTGAGCGCTGGGTGCGAAGCTGCCCGCAGCCTCTGCAGTGCCGGTTCGATTCCCGGCTGCTCCCCGCCACCGGAGGGTCCCACATGGCGCGCAGACCTCTCCTGCCGCCCGCTGCTCCCCTCAGCAGTGTACTTTGGTCCTTCTGCCTGCTCTGCTCCTCGCTCTGGCTCTGGTGAAATTCTCTCACCCTCCCGCGCTTCTGACTGTCCCCAGTGCATGTATAAACAAAACAAAACGAACAAACAAACAAATAAATAAAACATGCCTCTATAAAAAAAAAAAAAAAAATTAAGTTAGGGGGTGCCCCCGCCCCAGTGGCCCAGTGGTTGAGCGCCGGGTTGCGAGGCTGCCCGCAGCCTCTGCAGCACTGGTTTGATCTCCGGCTGCTCCCTGGCCACCCAAGGAGGTCCCAAATGGCACACAGACCTCTCTGCCGCCCGCTGCCCCCTCCGCCCCGCTGCTCCCCTCAGCAGTGTACTTCGGTCCTCCTGCCTGCTCTGCTCCCTCCTCTGGCTCTGGTGAATTCTCTCACCCTCCCGCGCTTTTGACTATACCCAGTGCTTGTATAAATAAACAAACAAACAAATAAATCTTAAAAAAAAAAATTAAATTAGGGCCTCCTCCATGGCACAAGGTGTTAAGACTCAACTTATGAACTATCTGCAGACACTGCAACATGAGTTCAATCCGCTGGCCAGGGGGCTGACCCACATGGTGCAGTAGATCTCTCCTGACTCACCCACTGCTCCCCTCAGCAGTGTATTTCAGCTGGTCTGCCTGTCCTGTTTCCCACTCTGTATCTGGTGAGTCCTCTCACGATCCCGCACCTCTGGCCTGTACTCCAGTTCTTGTATGCATAAATAAATCGGGCCTCCCTGGTGGCATGCAGTGGGTTGAGTGCAGAGCCATAAGGCTGTCCGCAGCCTCCGCATTGCGGGTTCGATTCCTGGCCGGCCACAGGAGAAACCCACGTGGCTCAGCATACCTCTCCTGTCTCGCCCGCTGCTCCCATCAGCAGTATCTTTGGTCTGTCTGCCTGTTCTGCTCCCTACTTTGTCTCTGGTGAATTCTCTCATGCTCCCACACCTCTGCCCTGTACCCCTGCACTAATATAAATTCATAAATATTTAAAAAAAAAAAAAAAAAAAAAAGGTAAAGTATGCCCAAGGTCTAGTATTGTACTGAGGTCAACAACCTGTACTTAAGTATAATACCGTTATACAATTAAAAAAAAATTATTTATTTATGTATACAAGAGCTGTACAGCTGTACAGCGCTCAACCACTGCGCCACCAGGGGAGGCCCTGAAATATATTCTTTATATTGCACATACAAGAACACATTTTGAAAATTCCTAGCTTAAAATCAATGTATCTCAGGAAGTAACCCAGAAAATAAACAATAAATCTACAATGACATGAAAAGCTATCATTAGGATGGACTATTTCAAAATTTCTAACAGTAAAGCTCCTAATTGCAGCCTTATATATAGAAATAGCTCAATTGAGTTCTATATAGTAAGTGACATAGCGAACAGGGACTGAATTCAAGAAAGCTACATGATAGCCTATTGATACAGCAAGACAACCTGAATCATAAGATGACATAAATTTTATTGATTTTTTAAATATTTATTTATACAAGAACTCGGGTACAGGGCAGAGGCATGGGAGGGTGCAGGATTTGCCAGAGACAGAGTGGGAAGCAGAGTAGGCAGACAAACTTAAGACAATGCTGAGGGGAGCAGCAGGTGCGACAGGAGAGGTCTGCCATGACATGTGGTTATCTCCCTGGCTGGCCTGGAATTGAACCCAAGAGGCAGAGCCTGTGCACAGCTTCACAGCGCCGTACTCAACCCACTGAGCCACTGCGGAGGCCAAAATATGACATAAATTTTAGATGTTCTTAACATCCATGAAAGCAAATCAAGTGGGGCCTCCCCGGTGGCGCAGCGGTTGAGCGTTGGGTTGCGAAGCTGCCCGCAACCTCTGCAGCGCCGGTTCGATCCCCGGCTGCTCCCTGGCCACTGGAGGAGGGTCCCACATGGCACGCAGACCTCTCTTGCCGCCCACTGCTCCCCTTGGCAATGTACTTCGGTCCTTCTGCCTGCTCTGCTCCCCGCTCTGGCTCTGGTGAATTCTTTAGTCCTCCCGCGCTTCTGACTGTACCCAGTGCTTGCATAAATAATAATAAATCAATCTTTAAAAAAAAAAAAAAAAGTAAATCAAGTGATAGTAGTTAAAACAAAAAAACCCTTCAATGATGTCTGGCTTCTAAGATGTCCTCAAAAATGTCTCTATAGGGCCTCCCCGGTGGCGCAGCGGTTGAGCGCTGGGTTGCGAACCTGCCCGCAGCCTCTGCGGCACCGGTTCAATCCCCGGCTGCTCCCTAGCCACCAGAGGAGGGTCCACATGGCGCGCAGACCTCTCCTGCCCCCGCTGCTCCCCTCAGCAGTGTACTTCGGTCCTTCTGCCTGCTCTGCTCCCTGCTCTGGCTCTGGTGAATTCTCTCACCCTCCCGCGCTTCTGACTGTACCCAGTGCATGTATAAACAAAACAAGCAAATAAATAAATAAATAAATAAATAAACATGCCTCTATAAAAAATAAAAAAAAATAAAAAAAAAAAAAATGTCTCTATATTTGTATTTAAGAATTTACATTAGGGGGCCTCCCTGGCAGGGCAAGGCGTTAAAGCATTGCACTGATCCAGGGAGCAACCCACATGGTGCAGCAGACCTCTCCTGACTTGCCCACTGCTCCCCTCAGCAATGTATTTCGTCAGTCTGCCTGTTCTGTTGCCCACTCTGTCTCTGGTGAATCCTCTCACCCTCTGCACCTTTGGCCTTTACTCCAGTTCTTCTATGCATAAATAAATGAATCTTTGAAAAAAAAAAAAAAATTTCTATTAGGGGGCCTCCCTGGTGGTGCAAGGGTGTTAAGCACACTGCACTATGTAGTGATTTGCAGCCCTCTGCTGCATGAGTTCAATTCCCTCCTGGCCAGGGAGGAACCCAAATGGTGCAGCAGACCTCTCCTGACTCACCTGTTGCTTCCCTTAGCAGTGTTACTTTCTTGAGTCTGCCTGTTCTGTTCCCCCACTGTCTCTGGTGAATCCTCTCACCCTCCTGCGCTTCTGACAGTACCCAGTGCGTGTATAAATAAATAAATAAATCTTAAAAAAAAAGTTTCTAAGTTAATAAGTTTACTTGCCCCCTGCTTTACAGCTCCGTATTAGCTTGACCAGTGGCCTTTACTATTTACTAGTCAGAAACATTATTCAAATTTTTAAGTTCTCTTCCACTTCTTAGATTCCTATGATCTCCTGATGGCTTTTGAAAGTACTTAACATTGGACCTCCCTGCTGGCACAAGTGGTTAAGAACAGTGCTATAAAGATGTTTGCACCCACTGCAGCGCAAATTCGATTTCCAGCCAGGGAGCTATACCCACATGGCACAGCAAACCTCTCCTGGATCACCCATTGCTCCCCTCAGCAGTGTATTTCGGTCAATCTGCCTGTTCTGTTCCCCACTCTGTCTCTGGTGAATCCTCTCACCTCCCACACCTCTGGCCTGTACCCCAGTTCTTACATGCATAAATAAATAAATCTTAAAAAAATATTTAATATACCATGGATATATGTGCACATGCATATACACTGAGAAATAACAGTAACGAAAGAAATTCTGTACTCACTCAGGGAAAAAAATGCTATTGTTGGCAAAGTGAGCTAGGGGATAAATACATGTTTAATGTTGGAAACCGTTACAGAACACACAGAGGTATACTACCTAGTTATGAAAGTTCCATTCCTACCTTTTCAAAATCCCCCCCTTTCCTTTTTTCCTCCACCATGTTCATTCCTTTTGGCTTTAAATGACTTTCCTGAATTTGCATTCTCTTGAAAATTTCTATTTATATTGAAGCTACAACTCTTACATTATGCCAATAATATATTCCTAATAATCTATCTACATTAGAAATACTAAAAATCAGATGCTTTACTCCATGTCAGACCAAATCTTTCCAACGAAGTTTCAACAAAGACCTGAAACCAACTGCTCCAAACTACTAATGTGACCAAAACCATAACCTTGCAATTTGTTAATTCTTCTGCAATACCCCAATTTATTTCAAGACAACACTTATGCAGGACTTTGTCATGAAGCCTGTTTTACTGACAAGGATTCCCATGGATAAACGCATCACTATTTTAAAGTAAGCTGTATTATAAATGTTTATAAACAAACAAAGCACTGTATCGGCAAGATTATACCCGTGACACTTTACTACTTTGAGGCTACAGTGAAAAAGAAATTCACACATTAAGAAATTATAAGAACTGGACCTCCCCGGTGGCACAGCAGTTGAGCGCTGGGTTGCGAAGCTGCCCGCGGCCTCTGCGGCGCCGGTTCGATGCCCGGCTGCTCCCCTGCCACCGGAGGAGGTCCCACATGGCGCGCAGACCTCTCCTGCTGTCCGCTGCTCCCCTTCCGCCTGCTCTGCTCCTCGCTCTGGCTCTGGTAAATTCTCTCACCCTCCCCGCGCTTCTAACTGTACCCAGTTGCATGTATAAACAAAACAAACAAAACATGCCTCTATAAAAAAAAAAAAAATTATAAGAACTTTCACTAAGTCAGGAAACCTAAAGCTCTTAAAAACTAGAGAAACCCTGGTGGCGCAGCGGTTGACCGCTGGGTTGCGAAGCTGCCCATAGCCTCTGCAGTGCTGGTTCGATCCCCGGCTGCTCCCTGGCCACCGGAGGAGGGTCCCACATGGCGTGCAGACCTCTCCTGCTGCCCGCTGCTCCCCTCAGTAGTGTGCTTCGGTCCTTCTGCCTGCTCTGCTCCCCGCTCTGGCTCTGGTGAATTCTTTAGCCCTCCCGCGCTTCTGACTGTACCCAGTGCTTGTATAAATAAATAAATATATCTTTTAAAATTAAATAAATAAAAGTTAAAAAAAAAAAAACCTAGAGAAAATATGTATACTTATTCTATGGATATTTCTATACAGAAGGAAAAACAGAGAGTTGATATCAAATGCCATTACCACCTACCTTTGGAAGAAGCTTCTTTGTTCCGTAAATGAGGAGGTATATAACGCCCTTCTAAAAAACAAAACATGAAATTAAAGGCCTATCACATTGCCCCAAAATTTCAATTATATTGCTCTAAGGAAAAAAAAAAATGTAAAGCCTCTCTTCTTGGGGCCCCTCCAGTGACCAGCACTAAATGGCAGCACTATCACTTGCTAGGGTTAGGGCCTGAGTTTGATCCAAGGCCAAGAGGCTAACCCATCTGGCACAGCTGACCTTTCCTGTCTTGTCCATTACTCCCCTTAGCAGTGTGTTTCACTAAATCAGCCTCCTCTGCTCCCCACACTGTCTCTGTGGAATTTTTTCACACACCCAGCACCTCTGGCCTATTCCCAGTTCTGCTGTGCAAGAAGTTAAAATAAATGTAAATAATTGTAAGCCATATAATTTTTATTTATTTTGCATAGCAGAACTGGGATATATGCCAGAGCTGTAGGGGTTGTGAGCAGATTCCCCAGCAACAGAGTGGACATGAGAGGTCTCCTGTGCCATGTGGGTCAGCTCCCTGTCTAGGGATCGAACTCAGGCCCTAATGGTGATAGTCCTGGGAATGATTTAACCCCAAGGCCGCTGAGGGTAGGGGGCGTATTTGGGGGACCCATGGCTGACATTTTAAATTCTACTGGCTTGTTGCAAAAGTCATGATACATTTTTGTTGAAAAACATAAAAGGGGGCCTCTCCGGTGGTGTAGCGGCTGTGGAGCTGTCTGCAGCCTCTGCAGCACAGGTTCGATTTGTGGCCGGCCAGGGAGATACCCACATGGCGTGGCAGACCTTGCCGTCTTGTCTGCTGCTCCCCTCAGCAGTGCTTTCGGTGTGTCTGCCTGTTCTGCTCCCCGCTCTTTCTCTGGTGAATACTCTCACCCTCCCATGCCTCTGGCCTGTACCCCAGCTATTGTATAAATATACCTTAAAAAAAGAAAAAACACGACATGACTTTACCGACAAGCCAATCAATTCCCACCCAAATCCCAATGTAAAATAACTTTTATGTATGAAGTCTTTCATGGAAAAGAATAGATATAGCACAGTAAAGCACAGGTTTATCTGTTAGGCTTATTATAGCTCAGGTTAATTTACAACAGGAATGGATATAGTTCTACTCCTTACAGACATGGCCAGAATTCATACCAGACAGAATTTATTTCCCCTAAATGTTACATAGACTGTATGTCGGGCCTCCCCGGTGGCGCAGCGGTTGAACGCTGGGTTGCGAAGCTGCCCGCAGTCTCTGTAGCGCCGGTTCGATCCCCGGCTGCTCCCCGGCCACCGGAGGAGGGTCCCACATGGCGCGCAGGCCTATCCTGCCGCCCGCTGCTCCCCTCAGCAGTGTACCTCGGTCCTTCTGCCTGCTCTGCTCCCAGCTCTGGCTCTGGTGAATTCTCTCACCCTCCCACGCTTCTGACTGTACCCAGTGCTTGTATAGATAAATAAACAAATCTTTAAAAAAAAAAATAAATAAAATACATCATTAAAAAAAAAATATTTAACTTACTGCTTGCTGTACTTCCTCCTCCACTCTGATTATCGGAGGAGTTCAGGTCTAGACCAGCAAACTGGGAAAAGACAAATATTAGTAACTCACGTGTTGATACAAACATAGATAGCTCTACAAAAGACAAATAAAAGTCTTGTCCTATTGTACAAAAATTGATAGATTCCACTAAACAGTCTGCCTTACAGCATTCAGACTTCTAAGTCCAAAGTATGACAAATGCGAAAGACCCAGATGCCAAGTGCACCAGAATACCTAATGTTGAAATATATTTACAATAGGTTTCCCCTGTACACATTTACATAGCAAAAGAAAGTCAACCATCAAAGTAAATAGTAAACTCAATTTCTCATCGATTTATTTAGGTTTTCTAAATGTAAAAGATCTTCCTGAAAAGGGACAACTTAGAGATTTATTTATTGCATTATCCCATAAATGGGCATTGAGTGCAGTTAAATTCCTAATCAGCAACACAGGTACCACCTATTATGCAGTGATAGTGATGCTTTCCATTATCACTGTACTCATTTTTTAATGTTTCCAACAGGGTGAAGGCAGTATGCAGCTATCTCTTTTAGAAACTGGTCTAAAAGGGACAAATTTTGAGATCAGCGGTTACCAAGTCTAAGTGGCACAGTTTACATTGAATACTTTTAAAAGAGGACTCTTTAATACCCATTACTTCACTGTCATTTTTCACACTGACTTCAACACTTTAGAAAAGACTATTTCACCTTATTGCATTTTGTGGTAACTAAGCAAAAGTAATCAGATGTAGTAGAAATAAATGCAGAAATAAATCATATGGAGCACAAAGGACTAAAGAGGTATGTTGTCACATGTTCACATATTTGCTATACTGTATTTATAAACACAGCGCATAAAAATTAAGGCTATTACACGAAATTATGCATTAAGATATTGCTGTCTGTTATCACAACTTTTTCAGATCAAATTTGCCTTCCCCTAAAATCATAGTGTCCTAAAGAGTAGTTTGTCAAGAGTTTAACGTTACCGTAGTTTATAAATGCTAATGATTGTAATCCAGATGTTCCCTTCTGTATGCTCTTTTTAAGATATCAAGTCTTAGAAAATGGCGGGATTTAAGAGTATTATTGGAAAAATACCCTCAACACCAGAGAAAGACATTCAAATCCCTGAAGCCTGTAACACAGACCATCAGAAGCTAGAAACAATACAGTTAGTGTTACTAACGTTTTTTTTCAATTGAGAAAGTTATCAATTGTTTTGTGGAAAAGAGTTATGGAGTGTATCACAAATTGTGTGCCCTTAGAGAAACTAAAAGGGTCTCTGGGGGAAAAACGTCAGTAACGTTTATGCCACGGAAAATAAAGTGATTTTGTTTAGATCACGCATTTTCACCGCAGTGGGAACGTACGAAAGTAAGCGTTTAAACAGTCCTGGTTTTGATCTACTTCAAGGATTTTGCCATCAAGCGGAAAACAAAGTTTCCAGTTAATTTACTTGTTCAGTAATTTTCCTGAGTATACAGGAGTGAAAACGTATAACTTAATCGACATAAAGAACATAGTAGTACCGCACAAACGCAAAACCGCCATTCAGTTAGTGTAAACTAAGTAAAAAGAGTATAAGGGCAGTTGCAAATATCTAACTTCACAGATGTCTTGCCCTGAGCGTTCAACTTCCATTATGTCTTCATCAGTCAAGGAAGGCTCCTGAAGGCCATTCTTCCCTCCCCCTTCAGAATAGCCCTTTCCGGTCCGTCTGCGTCACAAAACTTTCCACTCCGGAAATACGGTGTAGTAGTACGCAAAACCTCGCTACCAAATTCCGAGGTGAAAACAAGAACAAGAAAACTGTTTCGTTATGCTTTATGATCACTAGTCCATTCAGTATAAGTACGCAAGAATATTCCGTTAGGGAGCCTCAGCGTCGCACTTCAAGAAAGCGGAAACAAAGGAAGCTCCCGCCATTACCAGAAACAGCGCAGTGCTGTCTCCCCACCCCATGGTAACAGTTTAGTGACACAAAAATAGGTCTCCGTTTAGATAGAAAGTGTTAAAAAAAAAAAAAAGCACACCAAAAAGAGTTGTCTCATTTCGCGGGCCTCCATCCCATCGCTAATCAGCTAGGGTCGCACATGAGGGTCTTTGAGACCGCGTGAACACACAATAGCGGCCATTACGCCCGGTCGACAATATCTCAGGCGGACTCGGAGCCATGCCCAGGTAACAGCTGTAATTAACATATATTTTATGCCCTGGCTGTTTTGTACAGTATGCATGTGATTTTGTTCAGTTTCTTTACCCGTCCACCCATTGTCCCACCCACAGCGAACCAGAGTAAAGGAAATTAAAGCAGCAAGTTAGCAATGCGCCACAGCCACATAAAGCCAGAAAGGGGTCCACGTAAATCGCATTTCGGCTCACCTGCTGATCCAGCCCGACCGCATTTTCCACCGCCACATGACTCATGCTTGAAGCTCGGAGACTCCCACTGCAAATCTATACTATGCTATTATTACACTTCCCAAAGGGAACTACAGCCCCAGAACTACAAAGCTGGGGCACCGTTGTAAAATGTCTGCTTGCACTGCTTCACGTCACCACGTAGGTCGTGCGTCTTCCTCTTGTAACCCCAACTACCGTTGCTACTGCCTGGCAAAGTCGCGTTCGTTTAGTCATAACCTCGCGTGATCTTATCTATCCCGTACCTACGCTCAGAATTCGCGAGAACTTTATTTACTGCGTAATCCCGCAATACCTTTCAATTCTCCGAAAGAACAAACACATATTGTACCGTCACGTCTTTCAGAAATTGCGAGGATCTTAAACATAAAGCCAGCATGTCCCTTTTCCTTTCCGACCCTCTCAATTCTTGCACTCTACTTCCCTGTCACGGAAGCCAGAGTTATAACTTACATAAATTTTCTTGTTTCTAATTACCGCCTTAAATACTACACCAAAAAACCCCCCGTGAAACCTTTAACATTGACATTGAGAGACGCATGATCCCAGCTACGGTGGCCGCTTTGTAGAATGTTCTGACTCGGAGGTTAACGAACGGTTGGCAGATTGGGCGGACAGTTGACTGACGCAGCTAAGGGTAAGCGGCCGGATCCTGGCCGCCGTGAAATGCTTAACAAACGCCAACCTCCTCCGGTGTCCTGGAGGAGAGTATTTCCATAGTACTACGGACGCTTCCGCGCCACATGATGAGGAAACAAACGGTGAATGACGCGGTGAAAATGCGTCTCTTCACAGATCCCCAGCCCACAACAATTTCTCCCGTTAACCGCGCACAAGCACGCATTTGACTTTTAGTTTTTGTATCGGGGTTGCTCTACAACAGTTTCACACACGTATCTTAACTCCCGTAGTTCTTTTTCTTTTCCCAAATGTACCCGTCTTCCCAGTTTCTGAAGGACCTTCGTTCAGACCAGGAAACCCAGCATTGCTTCTGCTTGCCCCAACCTGCTGAATTAAATAAAAGCTGCTCATTTCCTCTGTTACCGAAAACCTCTGTGATTAGACGAACCTCACAGACCACCAGTTTCTCCCCACTGTCCCTCTTTCTCTCACACGCACAAACGTGTATATCTGTGTATGTAACTTCATTATATATGTCTGTTTATATATATGTATATAGTTTTTTTATGTTTTCATACTCTTCTACGTTCCTTAGTTTTGATTTTACCACTATACACATGCATGCCCAAAAAATATAACTTCTGGTTGAGTGCTGCGTTGCGAAGCTGCCCGCAGCCTCTCTAGCGCCGGTTCAATCCCCGGCCACCAGAGGAGGGTCCCACATGGCGCGCAGACCTCTCCTGCTGCCCGCTGCTCCCCTCAGCAGTGTACTTCGGTCCTTCTGCCTGCTCTGCTCCCCGCTCTGGCTCTGGTGAATTCTCTCACTTTCCCGCGCTTCTGACTGTACCCAGTGCTTGTATAAATAAATAAATAAATAAATCTTTGGGGGGGGGGGAAATGAAGTAATCCATACTCTTTTCCATATAAAACACCTCAGAAATTTTTATATTTTGATTGTTAAAAAGAAAAACACACCAATAAACAAAACAACCAAAGTTTTCATCATCTTTCAGAATGTTGCTTATTTTTTTTAAACTACATATGATTTCCTTCTTAGCATGCACACTAACGGTCTCCCTAGTGCCCCCAACCCCCAAATTGCAAGCTCTAAGTTTGTTTTGCCATTTATCACATAAACACAAAGCATTCTCTTCACGGGAGACAACTTGAATAGAAAAGAACTGTAACAGAATTAGTGGACTGGAAACAGACGAATATACTTTCCCAGTCAAAGATCCAAAGTTACCTAATCCCCTTCCGGGTAAATGTCTAAGGCTCCATTTGAGGGGACGCACAGGAAAGGGGTAGGAGGGGCCAGGCAGATAACCCAGAAAGGAGCAAAATGCAAACCCAAGTCAAGGCAAAGGCCGCCACTCTCACTGTCCCCTGCGTTTTTTTCTCTTTCAAGTGTCCAGTCCACATCGTCAAACTCCCTTGGCAAGTCCAAGGCCGAGAAGTAGCACTTTAACTTACTCCCACGTCTCTCTGCTCAAAGTCTCTTCCAAGTCCACTTCCTCCAAGTATTCTCTCCTTGTCACAAAGCTCCACATTACATTACACAGGGCAGGGAAAATGGAACCTCCTCTTTTTTATGCAGATTGCACTATTAAGGTGGCACAACGGGTTAAGCACAGCACTATGAAGCTCTCTGCAGCCTCTGGATTGCTGCCCCCCTGCCCCAGCTGGCCAGGGAGCAACTCACATGGCGAGAAGACCTCTGTCTCGCCCACTGCTGCCTCAGCAGTGTGTTTAAGTCAGTCTGCCTGTTCTGTTCCCCAGTCTGTCTCTGGTGAGTCCTCTCACTCCTGCACCTCTGGTCTGTACCACAGTTCTTGTATTCCTAAATACATATATCTTAAAAAAAAAAAAAAAAGTCATGGGACAGTAGAACAATTTCTAACTAAAGTCAAACAATTACAGAATTGAAGATTGCTTGATTATAAGGTGTATGGAAACTGGGAGTCATTATATGTATCTCGATTTCTTATATAAAAACTTCATTGGTATTTTGGTATTTTTATTTCTCCCAATTCCTTTCAAATGACCTTTTTTCTTTTTATAAAAATTTATGCATACAAGAAAGAACTGGGGTGTAGATCAGAGGTGGGGGGAAGGCGAGAGGACTCAGAGAGAGTGGGGAGCAAAGGAGGCCGATTTTCTGAATGAAATACACTGCTGAGGGGAGCAACCAGTGAGACAGGAGATGTCTCCTGAGCCATGTGGGTGAGCTCTCTGGCTCGGGATTGAATCAATGGCTGTGGATTGCTTCAAAGTGCTGAGACTTAACCCCTGAGCCACTAGGGAAGTCCTCTTTTTTTTTTTTTTTTAATAACAAATTTAAAAGGACATGTTTGTTAGTAAAATAAGAAAGCAAAAAGAGAGGCAACTGCATTACTTATGGGAGGAGGTCTGCTGTTATTTTTTGCAGAGGGAAAAACTAATTGGTCAATTTTTAGTTCATAGTTTACTGAGAGGCTCAATTTCTATTTGGTTAACGGAGCCAGCAGAAATGTAAGCAAGATGAGGAAAAAACAAAAGCTTCCATTTAACAGATGTAAAAGAAAAAAAAGGCATGTGTCAGAAGTAGGATTATTTCCAAATAGGGTTTATATCAAGAATATTCTTGGTTTTGAGAAAAAATGAAATTTAATCTCTCTATGTTCTGTTAGAGGCTCAGCATGTGAGGTTCTTGGTTTGTGTTTTTAACATTTATTTTTATTTATTTATGCATACAAAATCTGGGGTCTAGGCCAGAGGTGCAAAGGGTAAGAGAATTCACCAGAGACAGAGAGGGGAGCAGAACAGGCAGATCCACTGAAATACACTGCTGAGGGGAGCAGTGGGCGAGACAGGGGAGATCTGCTTTCTGGCCAGGAATGTGGCTGGTGATAACTTGATAAGTTTGACAGATCTGAGACTTAACCCCTGACACCAAGGAGGCCCCTTCTTGGGTTCTTTTGAGAGTGAATTGGGTAGTCTCCTGCTCAGTGGCATACAGCAAGTTTATTAAGGAAAAAAATGTTCACATAGACACTGGCATGCTGAGAGCTAGAATTTGAAAGGGGCAGTTTTACTTATGAATGCCTGTGTAAGGTGGGGATATAGCTGCATTTTGCCAGAGAAAGGGGCATTCTTAAATATTGCTCTTAATGAAATTACTTTGCAGAATTTATTGCTTTAGAGTCAGGTTGGGTTTGTTTTCTATAATGGACAATCCTCTCTTACTCTACATTAGATTTCTGGAGACTTTCAAAGTCAGTTTAAGACTCATTCATCATTCCTACCTTCAGCCCAGGTTGAATTCCACCTTCTGGGGCCTCACTGGTGGCACAAGGGATTAAATCACAGCACTATGAAGCTTTTTGCAGCCACTGCAAATAGCTGTTTGATCCCTGGCCAGGGAGCTGACAGACATGGCCCGTAGACCTTTCCTCTCTCACTGGCTGCTCCTCAGCAGTGTATTTCGGTCAGTCTGCCTGTTCTGTTCCCCACTATGTCTCTAGTGAATCCTCTTACCCCCAAACCTCTGGCCTATACCCCAGTTGTTGTATGCATAAATAAATCTTAAAAAAAAAAATCTAACTTCTTCTGTCACCATCTTTGAAATAAAGACACCTTGAATTTTATTTTTTTTTAAGATTTATTATTTATACTAGCACTAGGTACAGTCAGAAGCATGGGAGGGTGAGAGAATTCACCAGAGCCAGAGGAGGGGAGCAGAACAGGCAGACCTATGAAGTACACTGCTGAGGGGAGCAGGGGGAGTGGCAGGAGAGGTCTATGCGCCATGTGGGACCCTTGCTGGTGGCCAGGGATCAAACTGGTGCTGCAGAGGCTTGTGCAGCTTTGCAGCCCAGCGCTCAACCTCTAAGCCACCAGGGAGGCCCTACCTTGAATTTTATATATGAATTTTATAGGTACTTTTGCAACTTTTGTGTTGCATCTTTAATTTTATGAATTATATAGGATTTTTTGTAAAACTTAGCTGTATTGGGCTATTTGTTTTATATCACAAAGCTTTCCTTCTTCATAAGTTCTGTACAATTAAGGATGCCTTAAGAATTTTGTTTTAGGGCCTCCCTGCTCCCTGGTTGAGCACTGGGTTGCGAGGCTGCCCGCGTCCTCTGTGTCCTCTGCGGCGCCGGTTGGATCCCGGCTGCTCCCTGGCCACTGGAGGAGGGTCCCACATGGCGTGCAGACCTCTCCTGCCACCCGCTGCTCCTCTCAGCAGTGTACTTCGGTCCTTCTGCCTGCTCTGCTTCCTGCTCTGGCTCTGGTGAATTCTCTCACCCTCCCGCACTTCTGACTGTACCCAGTGCATGTATAAAAAAAACAAAGAAATAAATAAATAAAAACATGCCTCTATAAAAAAAAAAGAACAAAAAATTTTGTTTTATAAAGCTTTCGGAAATATTTTGTGAAATTTTATCAGTTAATAGTGAATTATTAAAATGCAGTATCTTCAAGAAGAATCCCACATGGGCCTAGGAATTAACCTCCTTCCAGAAGTTGACCTTTCTTCTCAGTTCCTTGGATGTAACTGCATGCTCTATAACATCCTGTTGATAAGAACCTTCCTTTTTTTTCTGATTTATTTATGCATACATGAACTGGGGTATACGCCAGAGGTGGGGGTGGTGGGATGTGAGGATACACCAGAGACCAAACGGGAAACAGAACAGGCAGACTGACTGAAATACACTGCTGAGGGGAGCAGTGGGCGAGACAGGAGAGGTCTGCTGTGCCATGTGGGTAGCTTCTTGGCTGGCAGGGGATGGAAATCTGCTGCAGAGGCTTTGGATAGCGTCACAGTGTTGTCCTTAACTTCTTGTGACACCAGGAAGGCCCCTGATAAGAACCTTCTTACAGCCCTGTGAAGGCCTGATAGTCTGTGCAAAATGAGATACATAGTAGGGTCTTCGGGCCATGTATATGACTTCTAGAGAAACTAAGAATAATGTCAGTAACATAAGCAGTCATCCATGTGTGTGAGTTCCAACTGATCTATAATTCTGTATTACTGCAGATTGTTTTTGGGAGAACTTAGTGCTCTTTGGCCAATTCCAAGAGAGGACAAGTAGAAACTTTTAAATTGCAGGCCAAGCCTTATGTGCCTTTTCCTTTGGATTGTATTAAACCAATTCTTTAGGTGCAATAAATGAGGGTGTTAACAGTTTTTGGTTATTTCTGAGAGTTCCTAGTGAATCACTGAACCACAAAATGGCTTGGGAACCATTTAACTTTACCAAGTGAGATTACCTAGGATGACCTTTACTCACATGTGGCTTTGGATGAGGAAAGAAATTTGATGAGTAAGATGTACCTCAGGTGCAACTAGTCTTGGAGTAGATCACTTTCTAAAAGTCAAAACTGTCAATAAAATTTAGAAATACTAGCTTTCATACCCCAAAGAGTTATTTAAGCAAATGCAAGGTGAAAGTTCCAGGGGAACTGCTATCTTTTAACAGCTAAATTAGTACATTGGGGATAGATTCTAATGCTATATAGATGACTAAAGCATAAAGATATTCACTGGATGAGACAGCAGATAACACTTTGAGGACTACTGGTAGCCAAGAAAGTAATCCAGGTGGGGGAAAGACAGAACCAAGAAATTATTCAAATTAGGAGTTGAAATTTTTGATTTATAGTACTGTAATTTTCCTTAACAATCTTTACTAAGTGAATTGTTAGGGAACTATGGATTGTTAATGGAATAATTAGGGGAATTATGTCTAGTTTGAGTGCAGCAGAATATTTGCTGCATGTTTTAACTGATACACTATCCATAGTTCACTACTGAATAATCACAGGAAACTATGATATAGATATACAGCAAGTTATTTCCAATGGCAGAGTTAGCTTGATGCACTGGATGTTAAAGTTTGCTTAACCTATGGAGGGGGATTGTTCCCCTATACATGCCAGTGGAGGGCTAATATGCTTACATTCAAGTCATAAGGATTGGTTTTACAATAATCTGGATATTCATCCACTTAAATATGCCCCTGGACACGTTATCTTAAATTCTGTGATTAAAAGTGGTTTCTTGAGCCTCTTCTGGTGGTGAGCAGTTGAGCGCTGGGCTGTGAAGCTGCCTGCAGTCTCTGCAGTGCCAGTTCGGTCCCTGGCCACTGGCAAGGGTCCCACACGGAGCGACAGACCTCTCCTGCTGCGTCCACTGCTCTCCTCAGCAGTGTACTTTGGTCCTTCTGCCTGTTCTGTTCCCCGCTCTGGCTCTGGTGAATTCTCTCACCTTCCCGCGCTTCTGACTGTACCCAGTGCTTGTATAAATAAATAAATAAATAAATAAATAAATAAATGCTTAAAAATTTTTTTTGTACAAGTGGTTGCTTTGGTATGGGCAACCTACCCAACCTTCCAGTTACAAAACCGAGCAACAGTTCAAGAAGCAACATAAGATGTTGGTTCAATTTTCTCTTATGTGCTATACATGTTAAAAAAACCCAAGTGATTCACAAGAGAGGAAAGCAAAGGAGTTATACCTTCATTCAAAGGGGATGGAAAATTTTAAATGATCTTAAAAATTTTTAAGAAAGAAAGGAAATGTGGGATTAAGTGTTTCAGTGTAGCGGTACTGGAAGTGAACTGGACCAAAGGGAGCCCCTACAGATGCAACTTCTCAAGTAGATCATTTTCTGAAAGTGAAAGCTGTCAATAAAATTTAGTAATGCCAGCTCTGATGCCCCAACACTAAAGGGCTCTGAACAAATCACATCTATTTATCCCCCTCAGGAGGAATTAAGAAGGTAAATAAAAGATAATTAGGAAAAAATAACAATGAGCAACCTAGCAGTGAATTCATTGGGAAGTCATTTCAATGGAATCAAGTACAGCTCTTAAAAATCCTAACTTTGGGGCCTCCCTGGTGGTGCAAGGGGTTAAGCACAGCACTATGAAGCAATCAGCAGCCTCTGCAGCATTGTTAGGGGGAAAGGATGTCCTAAGCTAATTCCATACAGGCTTTGTGGACTCCACCCCCACTCCAGATCAAAGCCATCAGGACACTGGGAGACAAATCCCATCAACACCAAAGGGAAGGTTTCTGGAACCTGAGGGTGGAGTTAAGCAGCCAGGTTTGGTATAAAACCAGATGTGTGGTCCTTGGGGGGTTCCTTTTGGCTGTCGGCCAGCTCTCGCTCTCAGCCAGCTCCGAGAGTGCCACTGGGTTTCCAGGTAGGCAGATCAGGTAAGACGCATTTAAGACTTTATTTCTCCCTGAATTGTTCATTTCCTCATTTCCCCTTCCCTTGTAAATAAACCTTTTATCAACCTTTTGTGTGTGCCTGCAGTGGAGTATTAATAAGTCCTTTTAAGCACGCGGGTGAGTACCCACAGCCAGGCAATCTGTTTTATATTGGGGCTGCCCTGTAACAGCATGAGTCTGAGCCCCAGCCAGGGAGCAGACCCACATGGCGCAGCACTCTCCTGACTCGCCTGTGTTCCCCTCAGTAGGGTTTTCAGTCAATCTGCCTGTTCTGCTCCCCACTGGGTCTCTGGTGAATCCTCTCATTCCCCCCCATTTCTGACCTGTACCCCAGTTCTTGTATGCATAAATAAATCTTTAAAAAAATCCTAACTTGTTCACTAATGAGTAGTAAATATAGAAAATAATCTGCAGGCAAAGAATCATCTTCCAGTTACATTTTTATCACTGAGACCGTGTTTCTCATATTGAAAGATAAACTGAGTCTTCACCTGACATAAGGACTCTCAAATTCAAAGAAACCCAGGTTGAAATAATCCTGTAAGAAAAATGGCAAAAGTAGAAGTTACTCAACTTTTACTAAGATATAATACCAAAAATCTCTTATCAGATAATGTTTTAATAAGAAGGAATAATTGCTCAAACAGAGAAAAACTACTTGGGATCTCCCCTGGTGGCCTTGGTCCCTCCTCATCCTTCAACCTCTCCCCCTTTTTCCCAGACCCACATGGCACAGCAGACTGCCTGTTGTTTCCCACTCTGTCCTAGTGAATCTTCTCACCCCCACACCTCTGGCCTACACCCCATTTCTTCTAAACAAGAAAAAAAAAAACCTCAAGGCACAATTCTCTGAATCTGTAGGCAAGCACTCTCAAAGTGTGTACTATCCCTACAGTAAAGCTTCATTTGCAACTCACCTACACTGACTCCCACACAAGTCAAGAACTCAGCACACCAGGGCCCTAGCAGCTATTAAGAACAAAACAAAATAACAACAGAAACAAAAACATAACACAGGACAAAATTCTTCTTTAAATCAAATTATATTTGTGAATTCAGCAAAATAATTTTTATAAAACGAAACAGCAAAATACTTAAATAGTATAGGATGAATGTATCCATTTGTAGAGATATTTGGTTTTTAAACAGGTTCCAAAATATCACACACATTCAAAGTTATCAATTCTTTTTAAATATAATATCAACTCGTAAGTTTCTTGGAATCCTGAAACAAAAGTTTACTCTAAAATAGTATTTTTGGATTACATTAATAATAAACCAAATTATTTTAATTAAACCCCACACAGTAAGAGCTTTGGAATGGACATTAAACTGGGACAACTTGTGTTCTGAAATAAAACTGTAAATTATTCAGAAAACCAGCCAGACATCTTGGTACAACAGTACTTCAAAATACTGTGGAATTATGATGATGCCTACTTCACTGGGACCCAAGAGAAGCAGTTTTAGAAGCATCATCTAATAAACTCTATCAAAAAACAAAACAGGCACACCAAGTACAATCTTCTGTTATGCTTCACACATTCTGGCACAGCAAAATTTGTTTTAATATTCAAAAATTCCTATTAACACTTTCACATTCTTAAATGTGAAAGTCAAGAGACTGCACTATCAAAGAGTAAGTATCAAAACTCAATGTGCAACTAAAATCAACCTGCTTGTGATATTTCTCTCCTTGTTTTATTCAAGTAAGAAAGAAATAAAAGCTCTGAGCAATACAATTACCATTTTGGGGAAGCTGATGTCATTCAGGTAATTTTGTCCTTGTTGGTCACACAAACTTGGTGTGTAGCCATGCTAAATATTACAGCTTAACTACAGATTAAAATATAGCCAGGATAAAAAGGTAATGAAAAATATTCAGAAAAAATATTCCATATCGTTCCTACAATTCAAAGGTTACCCTACCAATCTTAGGTAATTCATATTAATTAACAAAGAACAAGAAATTGTGTGTCTGTATGGATGAACTCTTATGGTTCCTCTTTTTATGGGGGGAGAGGGGCGGTTAATAAGTTGATCCAAATGCCATGAAGCATACAATACTGGTTGTAGAATGCAGCAAGGTAACAGGAAAATTATTCTTTTGTAAATCTCCAACTCATCAAAAAAAATTTCTTGCTTATGAATTAACAATAAAACACAGACATATGATATATACACTCTTGACATTTACATATTAGTATTATTTATTACAAAACACTATATACTTTCCCCTGTAGATGGGCTATATATTACAGCAAATTTCTGTAAATGAGATAGTGAATAAAACTCTCCACTCTATTTTCAACAATCTCTCTTTTAAATACTAGCCAGGCACAGAAAAAGCTGGATTCTAAGGCCTGAGTGCATGTTCTTAAGTAAGTAGTTAATAATGTGCATCTCATTTCACTGATCCTTCATCTGAGATGAGGCTACTTCTTCATTGTCTTCGAAATTGTCTTGTGCTCCCTGGCCAGTTTTCGGATGGTTGTTCAAGTGATGTGCTGCTGGACCCGTATACGGCTGTCCATGCATATGATTATTCTGAGAGAGTGAAAGAGACTTGCATGTCAAACATTCACTTACTAAAATAAAAAATTACAGGTTAAACCTTATCTAAGTAGATATGCCTTTTATTTTTAGGATTTATCTTTAAAAAATTCTCATTTAATAATGTAAAATAACAAATTGATGCTCAAATTTAAAGAAACAAAGTATTACGATAATTTTGAGAAATGCACACAAATCCCTGTATGTTTATAATTAGATTTTATCTTCACAAAGACAATGTCTTAAGACTTAACTCTTGATAAACATTACCAATGGCTCTGTTGAATGAACTACTCCCTCAAATGAGATCCATGGAACAGCAGTATCAGCAACACTAGGAAGCTTGTTAGAAGCAAAATTTATTATATCCTCCTTACACCATTTACTGAATCAAAAACCTTGGTGGTTGAACAAAACCATCTGATTTTAACTGAACTGCCTTTAGGGGATTCTGAGGGGGCATTAAAGAATCACTGCTGTAAACTATCTAAATTAAACTCTTGACTTAAAAACTTGTTCCAAAATTCCTTTTACTTATTTTTAGTATTTTTTTAAATTTTATTTAATTTTATTTTAATTTTAAATTCCCCATACAATTGCAACCCCCTTATTTTGACCCCAATCCCTCCTTTCCCCGCCCCCACCCTCCATAGAGTGTCTCTGGTTCATAGTTGTTTGTTGATTTTGATTTTTTCTTTCTTATAGTTATTTTTTTTCTGGTCCCTTATTTAGGTTTTCTAGATTCCTGCTATGAGTGAGACCACTGGGTATTTTTCTTTTTCTTTCTGGCTTATTTTGCTGAGCATGATCCCTTCTAGCTCTTATTTTTAGTATTAATATGCAAAGTGTGGTAGGATGCTGGGGAATAGGACAAAGGACAAAACACGTATGAATTTGTGTGTCATCCTTGAGCTAATCTCTGTATTGCTCCAATTTCAGTATATGAGCTACTGAAGCAAGCACAACTTCTTGATTTTGAATAAAGAATTTCTAAATTAGTATTTTTCACTAGTTGTCATCCATTTCCCCTCCCCATAAATCATGTATTGAAATCAGTAAAATATTGATTTCAATAGTATTTTTACTTTTGAATCCTGGGACAAAGGTATCCAAGACACTTTTGTTTCTGTTATTTCTTCAAAAAGTGATTTTATGCTAATGTACACTATCACAGAGTTTTCTTAAATACAGTTATTAGACCAAAAGTGGTGCTAAAGTTGACCAGAACACCACAGGGGTAATCAAAACATGCTGCATTAGACCCACATTATAACCAGTACTCTTTTGATCATCTTGGCACAAATATCTATATAGTAACTTAATTACCTTGAAGTACAGGTAATAAGCCAAAATTATTTAAGAGAAAAATTAAAATATGCCACATAAAGTCCAAGAATTGGTTTGGGATAAAAAGGAAAACCAAAACTATACAAACTACAAACTCCTACTTACCTTTTGATAGTAAGATCCAGATGAATGAGCATATAGTGAAGAATCTTCTGGAGGAGATGACTCATTCTCATCTGGGGCATCTTGGTCATCTGGTTCCTAATTTTAAAGAGATTAAGAATCTGACTACTTCAGCCACTTTATTTTTAATCTTTTGAGATACATTTTTTAAAGCCACAAAAGTAACCTTTTTAACATTTTTTGATTTACTGCAAACCATTAACAGAGAAGAAAAACTGAATTCTTTCAAAGGAGGTTAGCAAGTTTTATTGCTTAAGAACAAATCAACTGGCTCTAATGTCAACAGGATGGTAATTTCAGAAATTATGAAAAACAATTTTTCAAGTATTGGTCTATAAAACAAAAAATATTACTTTTCTATTTTCTACCTCCCATGTCTACCAATTGCTCATTGGTGGAATTTTTTTTTTTTTTTTTTTTTTTACCTCCTCAGGACAGAGTTCACAAGCTTTTGTTAGTGTCATCCTAGCACTGTGTGATCTCTCTAAAAAATAGCCATTTGATGTTTCATTGCTTTGCACTGGAGGAGACCAATTATTGTATGTATACTGAGGATTGCCAGTGTAAGGTCGTCTTTCAAGTTCATCTCCAAGCCATTCCACTGCCCAGGTCCACTTTCTTTTAAGATCTCCATTACCCTTTAAAAGAAAATAAAGCTCTGTATGCAAAAGAACTGAGAGCAATTTTTAAAATCAACTTAGAAATGCTGACTCCAAAATATTAAAATTCTTTAGAAAATATTCTCACCTGTAAGATTTGGTAAGCAACAGGACAATTGCTAAAGAGAGCCACCATACATTTTATACACTGGTATGCTCTTTTTTGATAATGATTCTTAGAGCGCTGAATTGTATCAAACAACCCATCTCGATCATCTGGAATTCCTTTAAGTGCATTATGAATTCTAAAGAACCAGATAAAAAAAATGAAAATTGTAATAGGTAGCATCTGATTGCCTACTGTGTGCCATTCAGAAGAGAAAACTTGACCATATTTTGATGAAATAATCTAACATGTTTTAATCAACTAAATCACCCTAGTTGGTAGCACTAGAAATCCACTTAATAGATGAGAAAACAACGACAGAAGCCAATCTATTTGCCTAATGGTACAGAGCTAAAGTTAGAGAGCTGGTTAGCATTTATTGACACAAGTAAATAGATTAGGGGCTGAGTTTTTACCACATTATTATTAACCCCAAGTGATTTTGCTATCCTGTAATTCAAAGCACAATTGGAATAAATTCAAGTCACCAACACTAGATAATTTTTATTAAAGTTAACTCCAACTATAGTTAGGAAGACACTGTTCAGTTGAGATAACTTACTTTGAGTCACATAGTTTTTCATTTTTATTTTTATAATTTTATTTTTAAAAGATTTATTTATCCATACAAGAGCTGGGGTATAAGCAGAGATGTGGGGGGTGAGAAGATTCACCAGAGAAAAGAGAGGGGTACAGAACAGGAAGATGGATGGAAGTACAATGCTGGGGGGGGGGAGCAGCAGGAGAGACAGGAGAGGTCTGCTGCGCCATATGGGGTGCTCCCTGGCCGGCCGGGGATTGAACTCGCGCTGCAGAGGCTGCGGATTGCTTCATAGTGTGGTGCTTATCCCCTTGTGTCACCAGGGAGGCCTATTTTATTTTATTTTTAAAAAAGATTTATTTATACAAGAGCTGGGGTACAGGCCAGAGGTGTGGGAGAGAGAGAATTCACCAGAGACAGAGAGGGGAGCACAAGAGGCAGGCAAGACAGGAGAGGTCTACTGCGCATGGAGTCCCTAGATTTTGAATTGCATTTTAGAAAGTAAGTTAAGCAGGGACCTGGTGGAGCAGGCAGTTGAGCTCAGTACTGTGAAGCCGTCAGCAGCCTCTGCAGCGCTGGTTTTATCCCAGTCAGCAGGGAGGGTCCCAATGGCGTGGCAAACCTCTCCTGTTGCCCCCGCTGCTCCCTTGCTGTGTATTTTGTCAGTCTGCCTGCTCTGCTCCCCGCTGTCTCTGCTGTATCCTCTCATCCTCCTGCGCATCTGGCTTGTACCCCTGTCCTTGTATAAATAAATAAATAAATAAAATCTTTTTTTTTTAAAGAAAGTTAAGCCAGCCTCTCTGGAGGCGCAAGTAAGCACAGCACAATGAAGCTATCTGAAGCCTCTGCAGCAGTTGACCCACATGGCGCAACAGACCTCTCCTGTCTCCCCATTGCTCTCCTCAGCAGTTGATTTCAGTCAATCAGCCTGTTCTGTTCCCTACTCTTTCTCTGGTGAATCCTCTCAGCGCCCCCCAGACCTCTGACCTGTATCCTAGTTCTTGTATGCATAAACAAATAAATCTAAAATAAAAAACAACTTAAAAAAAAAAAGTTAGTTAGGGTCTAGTTACTATGAAAGTGATATGGCAGTATAACAAAACTGACTTGAGGGTCTCCTTTGTGACATAGGAGTTAAGTCTCAGGATATCACCTCTGAGTTCGACCCCTGGCCAGGGAGCTACCCCACATGGAGCAGCAGACCTCTCCTGTTTGGCCCACTGGTTCTCTTAGCAGTATATTTTAGTAGATCTGCCTGTTCTGCTCTCTATGCTGTCCCCTGGTGAATCCTCTCACCTCCTCCACACCCTCTACCTCTAGACTACACCCCAGTTGTACATTAAAACAAACAAACAAAAAACACTTAAATGATCAACAAAATAAATTAATGAATTCTAATGAATTCATGAAAATACAATCTAGCTGATATACTAATGATTTTATAACACTCATTTTATTTTACCCTTTTTAAATATTTATTTATTTATTTATACAAGCTTCGCAGCCCAGTGCTCAACCGCTGCACCATGGGGGGTGGGGTTGGGGGGGAGGCCCTATAATACTCATTTTAAAGAAATAATACATTCTGTCATGATACTGAATGTGTATAGAATAATAAAATTACAACACTTTGTTTCATGGCAACTGATAGTTTTTTTTACAACATTAAGTGGTTTGTTGGTGATAGTGAGGCGATCATTTGAAAATATTAATTCAGGGCCTCCCCGGTGGCGCAGTGGTTGAGCGCTGGGTTGCAAAGCTGCACGCAGCCTCTGTGGCGCCGGTTCGATCCCTGGCTGCTCCCCGGCCACTGGAAGAGGGTCCCACATGGCGCGCAGACCTCTCCTGCCGCCCACTGCTCCCCTCAGCAGTGTACTTCGGCCCTTCTGCCTGCTCTGCTCCCCGCTCTGGCTCTGGTGAATTCTCTCATCCTCCCACGCTTCTGACTGTACCCAGTGCATGTATAAACAAACAAACAAACAAACAAGCAAACAAATAAATAAATAAACATGCCTCTATAAAAAAAAAAAATTAAAAAAAAATATTAATTCAAAAAGTCTAGTATTTCTACCTGAAATTTAATGTTACAAAGATTTATTAAAAACAGTTTGCTATAAATTTACAATCAATGTGTTTATTTTCAAGTTTTATTTTGCTGTTACGACTAAAATAAATGAAGTAGACTCTGTGGGGAGAAGAGTTATAGTACCATTTTTAGGATTAATCTTACTACAGAGATTATACAAAGAAATTTTGGACAGAGTTTAAAGGCTTGTTTAGGATAATCTTAATTCCAACAATACATCAATATGACAGCATTTACAAGATAGAAATTGCTTTTAGGGGGTCTCCCTGGTGGCGCAGCAGTTGAGTGCTGGGTTGCAAAGCTGCCCCCAGCCTCTTCAGCGCTGGTTCCATCCCCGGCTGCTCCCTGGCCACCGGAGGAGGGTCCCAGATGGCGCGCAGAACTCTCCTACCGCCCGCTGCTCCCCTCACCAGTGTACTTCAGTCCTTCTGCCTGCTCTGCTCCCCGCTCTGGCTCTGGTGAATTCTCTCACCCTCCCGCGCTTCTGACTGTACCCAGTGCTTGTATAAATAAATGAATAAATCTTAAAACCAAAAAACCAAAAAACTGTCATTTGTGCCTATGCAAATGTCCCATTTAAAAAAAAAAGAAATTGCTTTTAGGTAAAAATTAGTGTAACTATTTATTTATTAATTAAAATATTAAAAAAAAAATCTATTTATTTAAGCACACAAGCATTGGGTTACATACAGGCCAGAGGTATGGGGGAGGGGCGAGAGGGTTCACCGGAGACAGAGCAGGGACCTATTGACTGAAATACACTGCTGAGGGGAGCAGTGGATGAGTTAAGAGAGATCTGCTGTACCATGTGGGTCACCTTCCTGGTTGGGGATCGAACCTGTGCTGCAGTGGCTGCTGATAGCTTCATAGTGCTGTGCTTATTAACCCATTGTGCCACTAGGGAGGCCCACTTTCTTTCTTTTTTTTTTTTTACAGATTTATTTAATTATGCATACAAGAGTTGGGGTACAGGCCAGAGGTACAGGGGGTGAGAGGATTCACCAGAGACAGAGTGGGGAACAGAACAGGAAGACAGAATGAAATACACTACTGATGGGAGCAGTGGGAGAGGTCTGTTGCACATTGTGGGTAGTAGCTTCCTGGCCAGCTGTGGATTGAACTCATGCTGCAGAGGCTGCGGATAGCTTCACAGTGCTGTGCTTAACTGCTTGCACCAACAGGAAGGCCCAGTGTAACTAATTTAAAAGCAAGGATAAAATCCTAAACAATGATACTTAAAACATAACATAATATTAGTTTTCCTAATAAAAAAGTGAAAGACATTACTGGGTGAAAAATTATGTATGAAACTGGTGTTTTAAGAGAAATTAAAAAATGAAATAATACTATGATAAAAGGTGACTTTTCTTTTCAAGATAAAATACTGAATAGAGGGCCTCCCTGGTGGTACAAGGGGTTAAGCACAGAACTATGAAGTATCTGCAGCCTCTGTAGCACAAGTTCAATCACCAACCGGCGATGGAGCTAGCCACATGGCGCAGCAGACTTCTCCCAATAGGCTCGCTGCTCCTCTCAGCAGTGTATTTCAGTCAGTCTTCCTGTTCTGTTCCCCACTCTGTCTCAGGTGAATCCTCTCTCCCCCCACTCTGGCCTGTACCCCAGTTCTAGTATGCATAAATAAATAAATCTTAAAAAAAATCTAATAGATCTATCTGTGTAAAAATATTTTTGACAAGGGCAATTTCAACTATTTTTAGAACTACAAGAATGTAATAATTCTGTTAGCAAAAAGTTTATACACCTGTGAGTCTGCCAGGAATCCTCAATCAGTAAAATCTGCAAAAGTAGATCCAAATAAGGCCGAAGTTCATAGGTATATGAATATGCAACCTAAAAATAGGTAAAATATAGCCGAGTTACTGCCTTAAATGAATAATAAATCTAATTATGAACACATGAATGTTTATTTTGTTTAACCTGCCACAGAAGTTCACTGAGGACAGTAGATGAGAACTGAGGATTCTCCCAGCAGCAAAAACGAAGCAATTTGATGGTTTCTTCTGAGTTACTGCAGTCTTCAATAATTTTCTTCACATAGCTTGTTTTCACAAATAAAATATCTGCCACATTCTGCTGAATTGGCATTATAGGCTGTGGCAAATTAGGGTCACCAAAAGGATTGGGAAAAGGGGGATTACCTAGAACAAATTGGTGTTGCATGAAAAGCTAATAGAATTTTTTACAAAATTACATCAATTTATTTCAAAAAGTGACAACAAATTTTCTAAAGCACAGTAAGATATTCTTAAGGTTAAACAGACACTAAGATATAAAAATAAGTGCTTACAAAAAATTGAAGTTAAAATTCTTAAACCAAACATCTATGTAAAAGGAATTAACTATAATAGGTTGCAAATTTTTAAAAAAATCTTTTAAATATGTTAAAAATTGAATGGTTTTAAAATGCAATTCACAAAAAGCAGTCCTTCACACTTATAATTTTTAATAAATCTTCAAAATGTTAATCAAGACCAGAAATAAAAAACTCTAAAGACTGGAACATCTGACTTTACCATTGATTGCAGACTGCATTCGTGATGAAATGTTGCAACAGCGGATCAGCTGTGACACTACTGAGTATAATTTGCCTAATTCAGCATACTGATATTTGATTGGAGGACCTGGACCTTCATCTAAAGATACAAGCATGAAAGTGGCAGGTACATTCAATTTCAGAAGTTGTGTCTTTTCCGCCGTACCTATAAAAAAGGGAGAATATGTTTGAAAAATAAAAACAAAGCTATGCAATAATAATAGAGTACAACATTAATAAAAAGTAATTATTTTTTTTTTTTTTTTTTTTTTTATAGAGGCATGCTTTATTTATTTGTTTGCTGGTTTGTTTGTTTGTTTTGTTTATACATGCACTGGGTACAGTCAGAAGCGCGGGAGGGCGAGAGAATTCACCAGAGCCAGAGCGGGGAGCAGAGCAGGCAGAAGGACCGAAGCACACTGCTGAGGGGAGCAGCAGGCGGCAGGAGAGGTCTGCGCGCCAATAAAAAGTAATTATTATAAAAAGTATCATATATAGTCAACTACAATTTTTTAAAAAAGATTATTTATTTATACAAGAACCGGGGTACAGGTCAGATGTGTGGGAGGATGACAGGATTCACCAGAGACAGAACGGGGGAATAGAACAAGCAGAATGACGAAATATACTGCTGAGGGGCACAGCGGGCAAGACAGGAGAGTTCTGCTGCGCCATGTGAGACCCTCACTGGCCAGCCGGGATCAAACTGGTGCTGCTGAGGCTGTGTACAGCTTCTCAGCTCTGCACTCAACCACCTGCACCACCAGGGGAGGCCCTCAACTACAGTTTTTATGGTGAAAAGCACACCCTCTCTATTGAGACTTCAGAAAAGGAAAAGAAAATATATTGCCTTGATCTTTTAATTAATTATAATGATGATCATGACTTCTGAACATTTATAGTAGATGCTCTAGCACTGAAAGAGATTAGAGCCGCTGAGACATCAAGACCCATGAAAATAAGATCTATATAAGGGTAGAAATTAAATGAAAAATAAAAACCAAACAAACAAACAAAAAAAACCTCAAAAAAACCCCCCAACAAACTTCTTTTCTAAGTTGATTCTCTTTTTCACTCCAAACTGAAACATACTTTGGAAAAAGTATAAATTTGCTGTATTTATTTTCATACTACTTTTGCTGATTTAGCTTTGGTCTCAATCTCCTTGGTTTGAACCTAAAAAAAATGTTCTAAGAATCAACTACTTCTTTCTTGTTAAAATTTTTTTACTTGGAGTCTTTACATTTTCTATCTTCCTTTTCTTGATAGTTAACTCTTATTTGTGGATTATTCCTCGTTCTATTCCTTAAAAGTTGTATTCTCTCCACAGGCCTTCATTTTAGGCTACCTTGTAACGTACTTACTTTCCTTCTTACTAAATCAATAGTAATGACTATATGCATGCAAATAATTCCAAACTTTGGATATATGTACCTCACTGAACTTCCTCACTTAGGTATCCAACATAATTTTATAATTTAATTTGCCCAGGTAAGATTCCTCCTCTTAGATTCCCTCTGAGCAAGTGGCACAAACAGTCTGTTCCCCAGGTGACATCTTTGACTCATGTCTTAACATCAGTTCCCCATTCCAATCCCTCAATCATCCCCATTCCAATCCCTCAAATCATTCACTGATTCTTTACAAAATAGTCTTCAGGGCCTCCCAGGTGGCGCAGTGGGTTGAGTGCAGTACTATGAAGCTGTCTGCAACCTCTACAGCGTGGGTTCGATTCCCAGTTGGCCAGGAAGCTCTGACATGGCGTGGCAGACCCCTCCTGCCTCACATGTTGCTCCCCTCAGCATTGTTTTCGGTTTTCTGCCTGTTCTGCTCCCCGTTCTGTCTCTGGTGGATCCTCTCAGCCTTCCACACCTCTGGCTGTTACCCCAGTTTTTTTGTTTTTTTTTTTAAAGATTTATTTATTTATTTATTCATACACGCACTGGGTACAGTCAGAAGCACAGGAGGGTGAGAGAATTCCCCAGAGCCAGAGCAGGGAGCAGAACAGACAGACTGACGGAAGTACACTTCTGAGGGGAGCAATGTGTGCGGCAGGAGAGGTCTGCGCGCGCAATGTGGGACCCTTGCCGGCAGCCGGGGATCGAACTGGCGCCTCAGTTCTTGTCTAAATAAATAAATCTTAAAAAAAAAAAAAAAAAATCTTAATGCTTCTTTAAAAATTAAAAAAAAAAGTCTTGAATCTCCACCATTTGAATCTTCTTTCCTATAACACAGGCAGTAATCACCTTTGTCTAGAAAGCATTATTTTATAATCTCTACTTTCGCCTTGCCAAATCTTTACCTCATCATCCACTCTGTTTACTAACCATTTTCTTTCTTTTTCCCTTCTTTTCCATCTTCCTTCCATTCCTCCCCTTCCTGTTCCTTCCTTTCTTTTTTGTGTTGAGTAATTGGGGTGAAGACCAGAGGTACGAAGGGGGTGAGAGGACTCACCAGAGACACAGTGGGGACAGAGCAGGCAGATCCACTGAATGCACTGCTGAGAGGAGCAATGGGGAGACAGCAGAGGTCTGTTGTGCCGTGTGGGTAGCTCCCAATTGGGTGATTAAACTCAGGCTGCCATGGTGATAGCACTGAGCCTTAACTCCTATGCCACTAGGGAGGCCCTTACCAACAAATTTTCCACATCATTTTCTTCAGCAAACTGTCTTTCTCTAAACAGTCAAAAACTCCCTAGGATATAAGTCATACACAGTATTTTTAATTGTTTATTTATTTATTTGTGTTTATTTGTGTCAGAATACTTTGTATGTAATTAAACCTTTTTATTCATTGTTGTTATGGCTATCTGAAATTATAGAAGCTTCATTATCAAAGATTTTTATAAAGTTGGTGCTATGATATGACAGACATCTTTGTGAAACCTGGTCTGAATCAATATGAAGTAAGTTTTTATTATCTAATATCTATTTCCTCCAAATAGAATACTCATCATTCATCACAAAAATAATTAACATGCTTGATTAGATGATGCTGTTGTAGATCTCTGGAATACATGAGGAAAATAAAGCTATCAAAAAAAGAGTATGTGAAAATGATACTGGTAATTTCAATAGAATTTTAAAGTGGTTGTCTTACCACTATCTTAAAAAAACAAACATATAGTTCAATTTCATTAAGAAGCAATTCCAAAATCTGACAAATTACAATCACCTGTGATTCTTTATTTTCCACCTGGGGTTCTTTATGAAATATAGAGTTCCCTTACTGATCCTATAATTGGTTCAGATAGTGCTGGATATAATGTAGGAATTAAGAATGTTTAAAAAACAGTAGTAACAGATAAAAATATGACTCAGAGTTTATAGCCTATGATTATCAAGGAAATCAGAAAGAAGATAAATTACATTAAAATATAAGATGCAAATTAGCATTAAAAATTACAGAAAATCTGGGCCTCCCTGGTGGCCTAGGGGTTAATTCTCAATGCTATTACCACTGCGGCCTGAGTTTGATCCTCAGCCAGGTTGCTCAGCTACTGCCTGCCTTAGCAGTGTATTTAGGTAAATCCACCTGTGCAGTCAATCTGCCTGTTTTGCCCACTCTGCCTCTCATGACTCCTCTTATCCTCACACCTCTGGCCTGTACCCGTCTTCTATGCAAATGAAAAAAAAAAAAACAAACTTCAGAGTATCTGCAGTGAGTGTTAAAGACATAAATTTGGAATATTCTATTGTAGAAGATACCACATTTCAATACTGCATTAAAATAATTTCATTATTTGCTATGTAATTAAGAAATAATTTTCATAATTAAACATTTATGAAAAATTCTTACCTAAATTGGTATACATTACAAATAGATTGAAATATTGCTGTAAATGTCGGCCATGCTCTGAAACTTCCCTTCTCAGAAGATTTAATACTGCTTTAAGTAAGTGGTCACTCAAGCTTAAGTTATTACAAGCCTGTTAAGAAAATATTACTTTATCAGCAACAAGATGTGTAACACTGTGCTTCAACTTATATATACAAAGAACATATTCATACATATGAACAGAAATAGCAAGTAGAAAATTAATACAGTTATTAACCTATTATAAAAGCAAAACCTTAACTGAACAGAAGCTGAACATTTGCTAGGTAACTGGTAATTAGGCATAATGGAAGAAAATTTCCTTATGATTTGATAGTGCTCAATAATCATTAATTATTCTGAATGTTAATGAACCTGGGCACCATAATTTATATGTGTATTAATATATGGTAAATATGTCAAACAAATACTTTTTTCAGGTCCGAAGTTGCAGAAAATAGAATTCATTTGTACTTAATTAGAAAAAAGTTTTCAATTACCTGGCTAGAAGGTCCTGAAGATGTAGAAGAGGTTTCGTCTTGCAAAGAAAAATGTGCAATAAATACTATAAGCTTTGCAAATGCACCCCTTACTTCTGCACTAGGACACTCCAGAAGGTATTCAGAAAAGCGATTAGAGACGTTAAAGAGGACATTATGAGCAAACCAAAAACGTACATTCTTGCTATGACGGAGAAGAAGGCATAATGCATCATACCTACAACAGAAAAAAAAATGTACATTTTAATTACATTATTTCAACTTTCTCTTCTACAATGAACAAACGAGATTTTTTTTTGAAGATTTATTTATACAAGCACGGGGGTACAGGCCCAACATGCAGGAGGGAGAGAGGGAGGGTGAGAGGATTCACCAGAGATAGAGCAGGGAGCAGAACAGGCAGAAGGACCGAAATACACTGCTGAGGGAGCAGTGGGCAAGGCAGGAGAGGTCTGCTGCACCATGAGGGAATCGAACCCGTGCTGCAGAGGTTGTGGACAGCTCCACAGCACTGTGCTGAATCTGCTGCGCCGCCAGGGAGGCCAAACAAGTTTTTATCACTCAAAAAAGATCTCCTCTACAATTAATGGTTATGGTTGTTCCTAGAAGTCTCATTATGTGATTATCTCATTTCATTATGTGGTTTTCACAGTGATAAAATGAAAATGGTATCTTGAGTAGAATATAAATCTACTATCAAACTATTCCTAATCTAGTATACCTCCTCAGTATCACTAAGTATCACAGATCTTTTTAATCTGAAAGATGTTGACGGTAACTAGATTGAAATAACAATGTTCTCTGTATTTTTACAATTAGGAAGATAGGACTACAACCATTTAAAATTAAGCTGGAGGACTTGTGTCCCATGGCTGCCGAGCAGGAGCCGGGTGAGCCTGGGAGGGGAAAGCCCTTTAAACTTCTAGGAATTTTACATGTTGAAAACATCCGCTGTGCCCAGGATTCAATATAATATGGTTCATCAGGATCTGTTGTGGCTGGCCTTGGGCATTTTTTGTTAACTAGCAGAATTAGAAGATCATGTGATGTTGGAGTAGGAGGATTTTTCTTAGTGACTTTAGGATGCTGGTTCCATTGTAGGTATACCTATGCAAAACAAAGAATCCAGGAAAGAACTGCCAGAGAAGGAATTAAAAATAAGATTTTATATGAAAGTACCCACCTTGATCCTGAAAGAAAACAAATGAATGGTAACAGCAGCAGCTAAGCAATCTCGGGCATAGAACACCCAAATACAATGGAAGTCAGTGTGAAAAATGCTGAGAGCAACTATAAAAAACCTACCTTTTATGTACCATAAAGTCTTCAATCAAGTAAATAATTTGCATAAATTATATTTTATTTACCTACTGCCACTATGTCATATAGTGGACTATGCTTAGAAGTGTTTCCTTGAACTAAATAGTGAGCATACATGACGTCAAGAAATAAATCTCTCCCACTTGCAAAAAAAAAAAAAAAAAAATAAATAAAATAAAATTAAGCTGGAATTTCATCTCTCAGTGATAAAGGTGAATGATACAAATTTCTAGAAACAGAAGCCCACTTCTAAATAAAATGAATTACTACCAATGAATTACAACTCTCCCAATTACTACCAACTTTTTATACAGTATTTGAAATTAGTATCTCCAAGAGTGGGGGAAAAAACCCTTTAATAATGAACCAAATTATGGGGTCTCCCTAGTGGCATAAGGGGTTAAAATGCAGCACTATGAAGCTACCTGCAGCCATTGCAGCATGAGTTCAATACTCGGCCAGGGAGGTGACCCACATGGTGCAGCAGACCTCTCCTGTCTCGTCTGCCACTCCCCTTAGCAGTGTATTTCAGTATTTCTGTCGGTTCCATTCCCCACACTGTCTCTGGTCCTCTCAGCCCCCACACCTCTGGCCTGTACCCCAATTCTTGTATGCATAAAATAAACAAATCTTTTAAAAAAAAATAATGAGGGGGCCTCCCTGGTGGCACATGGGGTTGAGTGCAGCACTGTGAAGCTGTCTGCAGCCTCTGCAGTGCTGGTTCGATCCCCGCCAGGCGCAGAGCAACCCACATGGCGGGGCAGACCTATCCTGTCTTGGCTGCTGCACCCCTCAGCAGTGTATTTCATCAGTCTGCCTGTTCTGTTCCCCGCTCTGTCTCTGGGTGAATCCTCTTACTTCCTGTGCATCTGGCTTGTATCCCGGTTCTTGTATAAATAAATGAATCTTTATAATGAACAAATTATTGCTAATAAAATGAGTAAAATGCAAAGGCATGTACCAATCACTGGCAGGACCACGGACAATTTTCTTGGTGTGAAATCCAGTGGTGAAGAGGAATCTAGCAGCAAGCTGTATACTAATCATGGTCATTTCTTCTCCCTCTGGCAACAAGTGATCTTGTCCTTAAAAGCATATACGCAATTAGACACTTTTATTGAAATGTGATTAAACAAATACTCCCTGTTTAAAAAATATCAGCTAAAAGTCATCCTTTAATGCATTTATCAGATTACCAAAACATGAAAAAGTTGCTACAAGAAATAAAAGCTCTTCTATGCATCTACATACGGTCTGTCACTATTTAAAGGATTAGGTATCTTAAATATATGACTTGAAAATAACAGGGTCTGAAAATGCTGATTCATATAAAATCAAAATTTATCCTAAAAAAAAATGGAGAAATAGTGAAGAATATTAAACATATACTGATATCTGGTAAGAAATACTACAAACGAAAATACTACAAATGAAATTAATTTCCAAACACTTACCTGGTGCAGGACTCAAGTAGATACCATTACATGTAAGCAATTTTTTCACAAACTGAAAATACTCTAAACTGTATTGCATTCGGTTATGCATGAATTGCACATTTTGCTTCTGTACACTCTTCTCAATGGCTGGTGACATAATCTGCTGGGATCGTGTGAGAGTTAGCTCTGACACATATCTTATTATTTCATCACCTTGGTTTATTGAATCCATGCGTTCATAAAAAAGGATATAAGCATTCCACCACCTTTTCTGTCGCCTGTATGACATACGCTTCATCATATGATCGAATACTTCTCCCATGTACTCTCCACCAAAACATTGATTTTTCATTTCTTCATCATCATCCATTTTACATTCTGTTACATCTCCATCATCAAACTTATACCATCGATTTCTCTCACCCTCTTCACCATTTCTCTGAATGATGTAAGAATAATAATGTCCACCACTTGCTTGGCCACTGTGGACAAGCACACCCACAAGTCTGTATTTTGTGCTTTCTGATTTCTCATTTTCAGAATGTGCATTCTGTTGTATTAGCTGAGTCTCTGTGTTTACATTATTTCCTTCCAGCTTTGCAACACCTCGAACTGTGTAAGGTTCCATATCTAGTTCTCGTGGAAATTCAAAGTAATCATTGAATTTAATTGCACATTCTCTTTCCCAGTCATAGTCAAATCGTTTCAGTTGGATAGCAAGTACAGGAGGCAATTTTTTAATTAGCAAGCGCTTTACTGTATCAACCTAAAATAAACAATGAAATAAAAAAACATTATAAAAGCAGTAATTTAAAACTTCATGATCTATTAAATTTAGTTACAGATCGGGGATAAAACCAAGGATTCTCCATCTCAAAATGATTACAAATTCAAAAAACATGTAAATAGTGTTTCACTTGTTGTAAATGGCAAAAATTAGAGATAAACTGATGTTTATCTGATTATATTCTGCTACTGATATCTAGTTACGTTACTTTCCTGATGCTTTCTTTTACACTAATGAACAGAATCTGCTTTGAGTAAATGGAGAAATATAATAGCTGAAATGTATGGCATACAGATGCCAGGTAATATACTAACAGCTGTACACATGTCAAATGCACTTTATTCTCTTTAACGTCTGGAAAAAATTGCTAAACAAGAGTTCACTATAAAATATATGGGTTAAAAGTAGCAGGATGGGTAAGATGAAAACCTTGGGTAAGCTGTCAGTCTGGCCTTAGAGGTGTTTAAAGTAAAAACAACAGTTAACTTGGACATGAGAAGGTATGGTGGGTGCACAATATCTTTTTTTGCTATTTTATTATCTATTACATACTTTCAAAGATATGTTGATTCCATACTCACGAACTGTTTAAACAGATAGATAGTTAAGTTCCCTGATTCTAAATATAAGATCTAGTATTTAAAAGGGAAAATGGTGATGAAAATAAAATGTAACCAAACTAGCATATAGGTCTTCCCAAGGGTGAGGAATAACCTGGTGTATGAGAGGGTACTTTTTGTCTACTATTAAGTCTTCAGTTTGAGGAGTTAATGCAATTACTTTTACACAGAACTGTAAATAAACTACAGTTTTTAATGACAAGAAAAAATGTCGTGATTTCTAAAATTAAACATCAGTTGAAATGGTTCTTTAAGTCCCAGACAAATCTTTAAGCATTTTAGCTATACTTAACAAATCAGAGGCAGAGTAATGAGGTTAAACATAGATATATGGTGTCTTCCACCTGTGTTAAATACAATCACAATTATTAAAAAAAAGAAATTGGAAATCACATACCTTTTTATCACATTTTTCACAACGATAAGCATTTGCACCTTCCAGTAAATCTCCTTTAATGTACTGTTCCAAAGAATCAAGAAGGTTTTGGTGATTTCTAATATCTACATTCAGTGTTGTAAAAGATTCTTCACACTCATATCTAAAGATAATATTTAAGAAATAATGAAATTTTTTTTTTTACCTTTGAAATGTTATCTTCAGTTGTGAATTTGATGAATACATTGACACATTTATATTATGTCAAGCGCATTACTCAATGCTATAGCTAAACCACAGTTAGTAAGGGGTACAGAACTGGGGTATAGGCCAGATGTGTGGCAGGATGAGAGGACTCACCAGAGACAGAGAGGGGAACAGAACAGGTAGACTGACAAAATACACTGCTGAGGGGAGCAGTGGGCGAGACAGGAGAGACCTGCCATGCCATGTGGGAGCCTTGCTGGCCGGCAGGGATCAAACCAGTGCTGCAGAGGCTGCAGACAGCTTCACAACGCGGCACTCAACTGTCTGCGCCACCAGGGGAGGCCCATGTATTAGAATCTTTACACACCAAATTCCTCGTAATTGCCTTCAAAAGAAAACCTACCAGTAATACACAAGAAGTCATACTTCACAGATGAGGAAATTTAGGATAAGTGAGGGTAAAAAATTAATTTGTTTCATCTTATTTAGAAGAGTGGTACTCTTAAGCCAGGCTTATTGGCATCTCTTATATTCTTTCACACCATCTGTTTAAATAAATAGTAGTTCATGACCAAATAGAGGCAAAGATTCACCAAGTTGAGAAAAAAAAATTATTCACGAATCAGACTTTTAAATATAGCTCCATTTCTGCTAATATTTATATAACTTAGATGCTGGTTCTACAGTAATTGACACATTTAAATATCCAGGTTTATGTGTGTCTAGTGTTCTGTCTCACAGTTAGAAAAATCAGTTGAGAATAAATAATATGGGATGAAGTTGGAAACTCAGACTGTGGTGAAGTTTTACAAAAGGAACTTTAGAAACTTGAGATGACATATAAGTAACATCCAACAAGTAATATTAAGAGTGGCTACAATGAGGGAAAGAAAAACGGAATTATTTTCAAACAGAGCTCTTCAGGTTCAGAAAATTTTGTCATTCAGTAGAAAACAGAAAACAATTACACAAACAGACGTGTTTAGAAGTGGTATATATGCACGAGGATACTATGATAGAAATTAGTCCACAGAGGGGAAAAAAGGACTAGTAAAATAACAGGAAGAGAGTTGCTCCCAAAACATGGATTCCCTTATAAAAAAATAAAAGCTTTTTGCAATATTAAAAAATTTGCACACTTAAGTAATTTAATAGCATCTAAAGGGCTTTTTTAGGGTCTCCCTGGTGGCACAGGCGGTTGAGCTGTCCAAGCCTCTGCAGCTTGTGTTCGATCCCGGCTGGACGGCAAGAATCCCACATGGCGCTGCAGACCTCTCCTGTCTTGCCCGCTGCTCCCCTCGGCAGTGTATTTTGTCAGTATGCCTGCTCTGTTTCTGGTTGTTGCAGAAATAAATTCTACTTTTTACCCAGGCAGAGGAAGAACAAGTGGTACTTCAGGAATGGTGAGGTCAGGAAAAGCTTTATTACTTATGCATGAGGTCCCAGAGCTGGGTAGCCCCATAAGGTCTGAGTACCTGTTTACAGACAAAAAATTTCTTAACTGTCCTTACATTGATAATATTATTTGTTACAAAGTTCCTAAACACAATCATAGGAAAGGCAGGAACACAGACATCTAGGGATGGCCTTGAAAAGCAACTAATTTGGCCGGCTGCCTGACCTTGTAACTTTGTTTTATTTATTTATACAAGCACTGGGTATAGTCAGAAGAGCGGAAGGGTGAGAGAATTCACCAGGGCCAGAGCTGGGAGCAGAGCAGGCAGAAGGACCGAAATACACTGCTGAGGGGAGCAGTGGGCGGCAGGAGAGGTCTGTGGGCCATGTGGGACCCTCCTCCGACGACCGGGGAGCAACTGGGAATCGAACCAGCGCTGCAGAGGCTGCGGGCAGCTTCGCAACCCAGGGCTCAACTGCTGTGCCACCGGGGAGGCCCTAAATTAATTATTTTTATGGACTCTTTTAATAATTCAGTTTCTCTTGATTAACTCCAAAACACAGAATGTCAATTCTTTCCTAGTAACTTTATGTAAACACAGGTAACTACATTAAGCAGAGCTCAAAATTATTAAGACTTGGGTCTCCTCGGTGCAGGGGTTAAAGCCTCAGTGCTATCCAGCTATCACCAGCCACTGCAGCACACATTGGATCTCTGGCCAGGGTGCTGATCCACGTGGCAAGCAGACCTCTCCTGTCTCACCCACTTCTCCCCTCAGCAGTGTATTTCAGTAGATCTGCCTTGTTCTGCTTTCCACTCTGTCTCTGGGGGATCCTCTCAATCCCTGCACCTATTGTCTAGACCCCACTTTGTGTGCATAAATAATCTTAAAAAAAAAAAAGTCAACGATAATTTTTTTAAGAATCAAAAAAAATTTTTAAAAAGAATTTTTTCTTATTGTAAGATTTTTATTATTTATTTTACTTATTTATGCATTTCAGAACTGGGGTGCAGACCAGAGGTGGGGGTAAGAAGACTAACCAGAGATGGAGTGGGAAGCAGAACAGGTGGATACACTGAAAATACTACTGAGGAGAGCAGTGGGTGAGACAGGAGAGTTCTGTGGTGCCATGTGGGTCAACTCCTGTGCTGGGGATCAAACTCAGGCCTATGTAGTGGGCCTTCATAGCGCTAACACTGAGACTTAAACCGTGGCCCACAGGGAGGCTCTAAAAGTCAATTCTTTTTTTTTTTTTTTTTTAAAGTAACACATCAAGATTTAAGTCTTTTTTTTTTTTTTTTGAAGATTTATTTATTTATTTATACAAGCACTGGGTACAGTCAGAAGCGCGGGAGGGTGAGAGAATTCACCAGAGCCAGAGCGGGGAGCAGAGCAGGCAGAAGGACCGAAGCACACTGCTGAGGGGAGCAGCGGGGGGCAGGAGAGGTCTGCGCGCCATGCGGGACCCTCCTCCGGTGGCCGGGGAGCAGCGGGGGATTGAACCGGCGCCGCAGAGGCCGCGGGCAGCTTTGCAACCCAGCGCTCAACCGCTGCGCCACCCGGGAGGCCCTAAAAGTCAATTCTTAATTTCTACAAGGAATACTGATTAAGAACTGCCAGTTACCTCTAAACTTGCTGTATTTAAGTTTTTTGATTATTTTAATAAAACATGAGACAAATATCCTTATCTGTAGTAACTATTGAAACTGCTATTTTATACTCTAGATATAACAAAATATCTAAGAATGCAGGAGAAAGTAGTAATGTACTAAGCAGAGTAAGAAGAATTCAATGTTACTGGAAAAATAAAACAAAAAAACCCATAAAATAGTGGGTATATCATAAGGATGGAATTCACTAACAGACCTGTATATTAAGTAATAATTGGCACATTACTTTCAAGCTTAAGTTATAGTAAAAATTAAGAAAAACAAAGTCCAACAGAAAGAACATACTAAAGCACTAATTAGCACTTACCTATGGGGGCAGCCTTGGCAAATCTTCTGATCAGCAAAGGAACCGCCTAAGACTTGACTTAGCATAGCTGGATGTCCCAAAGCTTTTAATGCTTCGTCTAAGCTATCAACCAAGGAATTAAAAAACTCTAAGGCATCATGCTGTTCACGTAGATTGACAGGTTCACCCCAAAGCCTAAGAAAAAAATAACATAAAACCAACAAAATACCTAAAAGAATCTATGGAAAACAGTAAAAGCAATAATAGGAGGGAAGTACTTAGCAATATAGGCTCACATCAAGAAACTGAGCTCAAATAATTAAACAACACACTTTAAATTACTAAAGAAGGAAAAAAACTCTGAAAGCATAGAAACAAATGTAGAATGGAAATGAGGCAAAAACATAAAAGTGCAGAAGATCAATGCAAGGGAGTGTTGCTTCTTTGTAAATGTAAACAGAATATCCTCTAACAAGGTTCAAAGGAAAAATGGAAGAAAACTAATAGAAAGAATCCAAACTGAAAGAGGAGCAAAAGACATGTCAGAAATATAAAAGATCATAGTAGATTAGTATGAACATCTACTGGGTTGTCATAAAAGTCATGATGCATTTTTGCTTGAAAAACACAAAAACGTGACTTTCCCGACAACCCAATATATACCAATAAATTGGATAACCTAGAAAAAAACTACAAATTCTTAGAGGCAGTTTTCCAAGATGGAATGATGAAGAAATGAGAAATCTGAATAGACTAGTTAGAAGTAATTCTAAAAGTAATCAGGAATCTATCAATAAAATTGTGCTCAGATACAGATGGTTTCATTAGTGAGTTCTAGTGAAACTGCATGTATTATAGTCAAGCACTTGCAAAAAAAACTTGAGGAAGTGGGAGTACATCTGAACAAATTTTTTGAGGCTGGTATTATTCTGATGCTAAAAGCAGAGGAAAACATCACCAACAAGCCCCCTCCCTGCCAAATTCCATGCCAATAACCCTGATGAACAGACCAAAAAAAAAAAAAAAAAAAAAAAAAAAAATCAAAAATATCAGCAAACCAAATCCAAAAATACAGACAGAACTGTGCATCCTAATCAAACAAGATTTTTACCCTGGAAAGCAAAAACAACAGAAAACTGAGCAATGTAATTTGCCACATCACTAAGACAAAAGTTTAAAAAACTCTATGATAATAACCATAGGTGATAGTACTGCAAGTGTGTATTTTTTAAATTTTTTTTAAAAAAAGATTTGTTTATTTATTTATTTATTTATTTATACAAGCACTGGGTACAGTCAGAAGCGCGGGAGGACCGAAGTACACTGCTGAGGGGAGCAGCGGGGGGCAGGAGAGGTCTGCATGCCATGCGGGACCCTCCTCTGGTAGCCAGGGAGCAGCCGGGGATCGAAGCAAATGGTGAAATCAATTTATGATTAAACACCCCTCAAAAATCAGGACAGAAGAAACAACTAAATATAGCAGAGGAATTTCTAAATCTAGAAAGGGCTATGTATGACAAAGACACAGCTAACATCATACTAAAGGGTTAAAAGAGGAGAGTTTCCTTTAAAATCAGGTACAAAAAAGGATGTCTACTATTTTTGTGTGAGTAGAACTGGGGTGTAGGCCAGATTTGAACATAGGCTGTTGTGGTGATAGTGCTGAGGCTTAAACCCCACAGGCCACCAGGGAGGTCCCAAGGATGTCTACTTTCATCTCTACTATTCAAGGTAGTTTTGGAAGTGCTAGCTAGATCAAAATGGCATGAGATTGCTGAGTAATATTCCATTGTATGTATGTGCCACATCTTCTTGATCCAGTCATTTATTTTTGGGCATTTGGGTTGTTTCCAGGTTATACCCATTGTAAATAGTGCTGCAATTAACATAGGTGTACAGGTGTTCTTTTGAAACAGTGTTTTTGTGTCCTTTGGGTAGATCCCTAGTAGTGGATTTGCTGGGTCATATGCTAGCTCCATTTTTGGCAGGGTGAGGAATCTCCACACAGCTTTCCATAGTGGTTGGACCAGTTTGCACTCCCACCAGCAATGTAGGAGAGTTCCTTTTTCACCACATCCTCACCAACATTTGTTGTTGGTTGTTTTTTTGATATGTGCCATTCTTACTGGTGTAAGGTGGTACCTCAGTGTGGTTTCGATTTATTTGCATTTCCCTGATGATAAGGGATGTAGAACATTTTTTCATATGCCTGTTGGCCATTTGCATTTCCCCTTTGGAGAAATGCCTTTTAAGTTCTTTTGCCCATTTCTGGACTGGATTGCTTATTTTATTTTTGTTGAGTCCTGTGAGTTCTTTTTGTATCTTTGTGATCAGTCCCTTATCAACTGACTGGAGTGCAAAGATTTTTTCCCAGTCAGAAGATGTGGCACAAGTACACAATGGAGTATTATTCAACAACCGAATTCGCAACAATGTGGATGGAACTAGAAGGAATTATGCTCAGTGAAATAAGCCAGAAGGAAAAAGAAAAAATACTGCATGGTTTCACTTACAGCAGGAATATAGGGGAACCCAGTAAGACATCAGTGTAAAAAAATAACAACAGTACAAAACACAACAAAGCAAAAACGGACAATCATAAACCAGAGACATACTGCAGGGGAGGAGGAGGGAGAGGGATCAGAGGCAGGGAGGGAGGAAGGAGCACAGGGGACTGAGGTGATGGTGCACAGGTGCACTGGTGAGGGAAACTCTATGGGGACTACACCTGAGGGGGTGGAGGGAGTAAATATTGTTTAAAAATGAATGATGTAAAAAAATAAATATTAAAAAAATGCACAAAAAAAATGGCATGATGTAAGTAATAAAATACAAAGTAATCCAAATTGGGAAATATGAAAACTGTCATTATTTGCAGAAAACATGCTGTCATACGCACTCTAAAATTCCACTAAAAAATTATTAGAAACACTAAGTCAGTATAGCAAAATGGCAGGTTATAATTTATAAAAATCAATTGTGTTGGGCCTCCCGGTGGTGCAGCGGTTGAGCACCAGGCTGGGAAGCTGCCTGCAGCCTCTCTAGCGCCGGTTCAATCCCTGGACACAGGGCGAGGGTCCCACATGGCGCGCAGACCTCTCCTGCAGCGCCTGCTGCTCCCCTCAGCAGTGTGCTTCAGTCCTTCTGCCTGCTCTGCTCCCTGCTCTGGCTCTGGTGAATTCTCTCACCCTCCCGCACTTCTGCCTGTACCCAGTGCTTCTATAAATAAATCTTTACCCGCCCCCCAAAAAAATTGATTATGTTCCTTTTTTGTAAAAATAGGATTTATTTATTTATGCATACAAGAACTGGGATCTATATCCCAGAGATTCATGGAGTCAGGATTCACCAGAGACAGAGTGGGGAACAGATTAGGTAGACTGACTGAAATACATTGCTGAGGGGAGAAGCAGGTGAGTCAGGAGAGATCTGCTGTGCCATGTGTTTATGTCCCTGGCTCTCCAAAGCCTCTGCAACATGGGTTTGATTCCCAGCTGGTCAAGGGAGATACCCACATGGCCTGGCAGACCTCTCCTGTATCACCGCTGCTCCAATCCATCTGCCTGTTCTGCTCCCCGCTCTGTCTCTGGTGACTTCTCTCACCCTCCCGTGCCTCTGGCCTGACCCCAGCTCTTGTAAAAATAAATAAATCTTAAAAAAAAAAAAAAAGCCACCACAAAAAATAGGAATCTGACTATAAAATGGAGATACTCAAAGGGTTCAGGAATGGTGGTCAGTAAAGGGCACTGGGGGCTTAACAGACTGTTTTGGAGTAAGCAGCCATAAAAATGGAGTGTTTTTCAGTAATAAAATGAAGTATTTATATATGCTAAAACAGTGATACAGATGTGGAGTAAATGTCCTGTCTCACCCGCTACTCCCCTCAGCAGTGTATTTTAGAGGATCTACCTGTTCTGCTCTCTACTCTGTCTCTGGTCCATCATCTCAACCGCCACACTCTGGCCTATACCACAGTTCTTGTATGCATAAATAAGTAAAATAAAAAACAAAACCCACCCTAGTATATACTAACATCTGTAGAACCATGAAGCAAAAATTAATAGACACACCCCACTGAGTGGGAAAAAATCTTTGCACTCCATACAACTGATAAGGGTCTGATCACAAAGATATACAAAGAACTCACATGACTCAACAAAAACAAAGTAAACAATCCAGTCAAGAAATGGGCAGAAGGGAGGGCCTCCCTGGTAGCGCAAGGAGGGGTTAAGCACCACACTATGAAGCAATCAGCAGTCTCTGCAGCAGCAGTTCGATTCCCAGCCAGCGAGGGAGAAACCCACATGGTGCAGCAGACCTCTTCTGACCTTCTTGTTGCTACCCTCAGTAAAGGAACTCTTCTACATTGCTGGTGGGAGTGCAAATTGGTCTAATAACTACGAAAAGCTGTCAGTCTACTGAAAATGGAGCTACCATATGACCCAGCAATTCCACTCCTAGGGGTCTACCCAAAGGACATAAAAACACTAATTCAAAAGAACAGCTGTTTACTGCAGCACTATTTACAATAGGTAAAACCTGGAAATAACCCAAATGCCCCAAAATAGATGACTGGATCAGGAAGATGTGGTACATATATACAATGGAATATTATTCAGCAATCAAAAAAAGATAAACTCATGCCATTCACAGCAATGTGGATGGAGCTAGAGGGAATTATGCTCAGTGAAATAAGCCAGAAGGAAAAAAAAAAAAAAACACTGCATGGTTTCACTTATAGGAGGAATATAGGGGAACCAAATAAGACATCAGTGTAAAAAAATAGTAACAGTAGAAAACACAACAAAGCAAAAACAGACAATTATAAATCAGAGACACACTGCAGGGAAAGAGGAGGGAGAGGGATCATCGGGTGGAGGGAGAAGCACAGAGGACTGTGGTGATGGTGTACCAGTGCACTGGTGAAGGAAACTGTGCGGACTATACTTGAGGGGGTGGGGGAAGCAAATATTGTTTAAAAATGAACAATGATGTAAAAAATAATTAAAAAAGTGACAAACAAAATGAAAATCTTCAACATATAAAAAAGCCAAGACAAACCCAACCCAAAAACTCAAGCTGTAAACAAAAACATACCAAAAGGCAACAAACACTTTTATCTCAATAATCATGACAAAAGTAAACATCCTCACCTTGCCAGTGAAAAAATGCAGAATGTCTGTTTGAATTTCAAA